CCCCTCAGCGTTCCCGCCGCCGCGGCCGCGCGTGCGCAGCGCGGGCCCCGCACACCCCACACGCACCGTCACGCACGCGCAGGCGCGGGCGGGCGGGGCGGGCGCGCGGCGCTGATGCAAGAGCCGAGCACGGAGTGACCCCCGCGGACCGACCCACAGACAGACAGACCGACCGACCCACCGACCCTCCGACCTCCCTCACACACACCCCACTCCCCCCGGCCGCCGACATGTCCGGCGACGAGGTGAGAACCCGCCCCGCGAAGCGCCGGGGGAGCCGCGCCCGGGGCCTGCGCCGCCGCCGCCATGTGGGCGCCGGGCCTGAGGCCTGAGCGGGCGCGGCCTCCGCCCCGCGCGGGGCCGGCACGGGGGTCCCGCCGGGACGGGCGGAGGAACCGCGGCTGTGGGAAGGGGGCCGCGGGTGCTGGGAAGGCCTGGTACTCCCCCCGGGGGCCGCCCCTGGCGGGGGGAGGCCGGGGAGGGAGGCGGAGGGCCCCGCCAGCGCTACTCGTTGTGTTCCGTGCCCTCCTGCCGTATAGCCAGTTCGCTTAGCCCTGTCTGGGGAGCTTTAAACCTCGGCCTTTAACCCAGAGAACTAAACAGCTCCATCGTAATAAGCGGTAACTTCAGGCTTTCCGGGTGTGCTGGTGCTGTCTCGGACACACTTCTATGGGAGCTGATTCGTTTGTCTTTGAGAAATTCTTCAGGTGGTGTAGGTGCCGTGTGTTGGCACCTTCACTGGCCTCGTTTCCCTCGCGTTCGTGGGGAAAAGGCCCTTTTTACGTGTGTGAGGTGATGGGTGACTGTGTGGCCTGGGGTACCCTGGCTGGATCCATGAGGCGGATTCATCCATGAGATGGATTCTGCTGCCGGGCTTGTGTCAGGAGCTTGGAGACAGGCAGGTCTTCGTAATAAAGGAGAAAAATTACTAATGCCATTAAAAGGAGCCAAGGCTGGCTTACTCAGCTGCTTTAACATCCAGAATGAATATGCTGCGTTTCTGTGCCCCGTGTGTGGTTGGAGCTGTGATGGCTGGGCTGTGCTCTGCACTCAGCAGTCCTTGCATCAGGTGCTTCCTGACTCAGGTGATCCCAGGACCACGGAGCTCATATGGAGTGCCCTGCTTTGGGTGTAGTTTAAGTGTCAGTAAGACTCTTTTTCTTGCATAATTACTTTTTTGGGGGGCACTGAGGCGATTCCTGCGATCTGTAGGACAGTGAAGTTACCTCTGTGGATCGCTTTATGCGTCAGACTGACAGAAAATAAAGATTACAGCAGGTAACACAGTTGAACCTGAAGAACTCAGAGTGGCAATTCAGGTACTGTGAGTGTGAGTCGCTGTGCCTTCCCAAGCTTCTGCATCTCTGGTTGTTGGGGGCAGGATAGTTTGGTATTGATGATAAGTTGGTGAAACTTTCTGAAGCCGACAAAGTTGAGGAGGGTGAAGACGAATCACCCTCCCCTGGAGGATTAGGACAAACTGGCACCCTGAACTGGTGTAGATGGTACAAACTTCGCAGTATTGAACTGTAGCTTAACATTTTCAGAGCTGTGAAGAAATGAAGCTCCCTGGTAGCAGCATCACTGGGTGCTGCCCAGAGCTGTGGCACAGCAGGGGCAGCACAGGCCTGGTTTGTGAGGGGAGTCAGTCTGTTAACATCTGGTTTGGTTTATTAAAGATCCTGCAGTGTGTATAATCCCAGGCAATAATGTTAGAGGTTGCTGTGTTTTGAGAAGATTTAGGTGCTGATTGGGCTTAATAATTTTGCATCTCATCACAGTCGTCAGTGTAGTGTCAGGGTTCCTGAGCTCACCTGAGCAGGGCAGGGTTGCTGTTTGCTTCCCATGCCTGTGTTTTCTCAAAAGAGGAAATGGGATTAATTTGTGACTTCCCCAGCATTTGCCACTGTCACAGCAGTTCACAGTAACCTTGGCTTCTGTCTTGACAGTTGCACGTGGACTATGAATCTTTGATAATTTCCCCCCTCTGTTCTTTCACTTGCTGATCTCCATAAGTTGGGATTTTGACTGTAGGCATTTGAAATAAGGAGCAGGTACGTGGAGCTGGAAGTGAGAAAGAACCATTTGGTCTACAGGGGAGAAAACCCCATGTGGGAATTTGGCTCTGAGAGCAGAAACAGGATGGGAATTTAAAACCTTTTTGAACAGGAAGAGCATTGATTTTTGGTGTGTTTGGACCGGCAACTGCAGTTCCTTCAGTAAGAAACCTCCAACTTAAATGGCATCATAGCTAACAAAACACACTGAGTAGAGAAAAGGAACAAAGAAAGTTCTGAAACATCCAGCTCAGAGAGCCCAGGCATGGAGTGCCCTGGTTGTCAGGCCAGTTCATTGATATCATGACTTGTTTAAGCCTGTGTGACCTAAGGCTCTGCTTAGCACTTGTCAGAACCCTTGATGAACAAAACATTTCAGGCACAGGCCTTGCATCCCTCTCCTGTGACAGGTGGCCTGTTATGAGTAAGTCTTGGGTTTACAGAAGCTTGGCTTGCCCTGGGGTGGCCCCTCAGAGCAGTGCCCTGCCCAAGGCCAGTGCCTGTTTTTAGTGCTGGAAAGCCACTCTCCTGCATCCAGGAGTTGTCCTTGAGTGTTGACTTGACTTTAGTGTGGTTGGGCTGAAGTCAGTCTGTCTGTGCAGACACAAGAGATCCTTTGTGGTGGTTCAGGGTGAAAGGTGTCTTTCCCTTCACAAAGGGAAGAGTGATTTGAGTTTCCTTCTTAGAAACTCTTTACATCTGATCTTATGTTTGCTCCACATGAGGAAGCAAAAACCTCTTCAGTCTTGCAAAGCATCCTCATGGAAATGAGTCAGCCATTGTGCCTGTTCCCAAAGCTGTGGGCTCTGCTGCTGGAGCAGCTTTCCTTGTGTCCCAGCAGGCTGGGGAGGTTGCAGACAGTGTAACCAGTTGGACATCCTCGGTGATTTCTGTGCATTACATCAGCATGATTCACAGCAGTGTCTGAGGAAGCATCAGAGGAAAGCCTTCTGGCAGAACTCTTCAGAAGATCCTTCTAGCACAGTGTGTCCAACTAAAGACACTCTTGAGCAGCCTGAAAGCCTCGGTGTTCCATATATATGGACACTTTTGGGATGCTGTGCTTCACACACCCCTGTGTGCAGTTCCCTGCCTTTATGGAACATGTACTTTGCAGAAATTTGGCAGAACTCTGGAGAAAGTCTTAATTGAGCGTCTAAAGTTGTCTGTTGTGTTAAATCCACACTGTGGTGTGACTGTATGGGGAGATGTGAGTGACAGAGCTGGCCAACAGCTGTGGTGTCAACTTTGCACTGAGATGACAGAAGTTAGAAGCGTTAATGTGTTACATTAATTAAAGCATGAATGGAAAACTGGAGACCTCAGGTCTGCAGATGATGAATAGGTTAAAAGTGAATCTCTGAGGTCAGTGCCTTCCTCACAGTCAGACTAGGGGAATTAAGCTGCTTTGCTGGCTAAAGAGCTCATTGACAGCTTTTAATCCCTTGGTGTCTGAGGGTCAGTCTCTCACTCTGGGGGGGAAGAGCTCAGACCTTTGCCATTCCATAGTGCTGGGAGCTGATGCAGGTCTGTGTCACCAGCCCCACGCAGGTTTGCACCTAGTCCAGAGTGTTCTTGTCAAGAGAGTTATTGACAGATCCTGCCTTTAATCAATCTGGAAGTGAACGTGTCTCCCACGTGGAAGTGACTCCTGATCAGGCTCTGTGCTATAGATGGGCTTCAATCTAATACTAATAACTAAACTAGATGGCAGGAAACTTGGACTACAGGAAAAGTAGCAGAAGCTGTAAACTGTCAAGCAGGTCTTCCCTTGCAACTGATAAACAGCTGAGATTGAAGCCGAGGAACGGTTTGGGAAACTGAGGGAATCGTGAGAGAAATATGTAGTGGGAGGTGATTATTGTGCAGCTAAGGAACTCTTTGACTTTTCCAGATGATTTTCGACCCTACTATGAGCAAGAAGAAGAAGAAAAAGAAGAAGCCCTTTATGCTGGATGAGGAAGGAGGAGGAGATACACAAACAGAGGAGACTCAGCAATCAGAAACAAAGGAAGTTGAACCAGAGCCAACAGAAGACAAAGATGTGGAAGCAGATGAAGAAGACAGCAGGAAGAAAGGTAAGATGAACTCTCCACGGTGGCATTTTGAGACTACAAGCCCTGTCTCAAGAGTTTGGCATCCCAGGTTGTAATTCCAGAGCCCTGGTTTGTTCTCAGTAATCTCTGCTGCCTGTTTGGAGGGCACATTTCCCTCCTGCTTGGAGTCACGTTCACAGACATCCACCAAGCTCCCAGTGCTTATGTAATTTCCATTTTCCTGACTCAAACAATCTTTTTGTGTGAGGCAATGAAAAGTGACTCTCCAAAATAGCCAGGGTGAAGTTTTACATGCTCCACAAGCAGTAAGTCCACAATTACAGTTCTTTCTCACTGGAACGATTAAACAGTAGGGTGAATAACAGAAACATGGTTTAAAAGGTTTCTGGTTTTTGGATAAGTGTGAATGTGGTAACTGGAGTGTTCTTTGGAATCTTTCAGGAAAAAGGTGTGTGATTGTGTACATAAACTCACTTTTTAAATTGAGGCCAATGGCATTTCAAGATGACCCGATTCAGGGAGTTCTGTTCGCTTAAATCCAGTTTGTTGGTAAAATTGGCTCCTGCTGTAGACCAGAGAAACTATACCTTCCTCCTACAGTTTTCTTCTCATTTTTTCCAAGCATCTGTAATGACAAAAGTGACTTAATTTCTCCTGTACAATAAAAAGAAAGATTAAACACTTACAAATCAGAATGCTCAGTTAGAAGATGCAGAGACTGAAACAGTACTGAGGTATTTGGGACCAGAGAGGAATGATCTCTTAGAAACCTGGAGGATATTCATACAGATCATTACTCATGTCTTACTGGAATGTTTTAAAGATTTGGATAGAAATTAGAAAACCCTAATGTCTGAACTGTTTCTTCAGTTATACCGTTTTAATCAATCTTTTGTTTTGTTTTTTTTTTTTTTTTTTAGATACAACAGATGACTTGGATGACTTAAACTTCTTCAATCAAAAGAAAAAGAAGAAAAAAACAAAAAAGATATTTGATATAGATGAAGCAGAAGAAGGTGTAAAGGTTTGTTTTCATAGCTAGGCCATCCTGACTGTGGTGAAAACTTTCTTGCTTTCATTTTCTTGGGGTTGGCAGTGCAGGAGTTCCTTCAAATCTGTTGTTTTCATGCCGGAACTTTTACATATCTTTCACATACAGCAGGTTCTGATGAACATGTTGCTCAGCACCTGACTGCTCTGCACAGTGAGCAGTAATTCTGCAGTCTGTAGTAAGGGCTGATTTGCCTCCAGGTTAATTTTCTTTTGGGGGTAGAGGAGTAAATGGGTGTCAGAAGCCACGCACAAAACAGTCCTCCAAAGGCCAGCCCTGCAAATAAAGTGCACGTACCTGCCAAGAACTCTGCTTTCCCTCTGGTGTTGTCTTTAGGGAGGATTGGCTCCTGTGCTGTGTTCCAGAAGGTGTAGGAGATATTTTTACTCTTCTGGAGTTTTATTCCAAGTGGTGTTTTTGTATCACATGTCTGTCACTGGCAAGCCCGGGGAGGACAGAGGAATGTTACATGTGAACCTCCACTTCAGATCCTGCCCTTTGGGGAAGGAAATGTCCTTCTCATCTGCCCCAGGCAGACAAAACACTTGCTCTGTGTTCTCCCCACTGTGGTAATAAGTTGGAGTAGCTGTGGGAAGCACAGCTGTGCCTGCTGTGGAGGCTGTTTAGTTCCCTTGGGCCCTCAAATGGCTGTTGCCTTGAAGTATAGCACGACCTTGCCCTTGAGGTTAGACCAGAAGGTAAAAATCTGTCCCTGCTTGTGGTAGAAGTGCAGGACTCTCTTCAACACCCTCAATTCCATTGTTAGCTGTTGAGTTGCAGGGCTGTGGTGGATTTTACCAGTATCCCCCAGTACAGTGTGCCCCTCGGGGTGTTTGTGGTGCTGTGCGGGGGGGGAGGATTGGTGTTTAATACTCTGAACTGTGGTCCTGTTTCTTTGCAGGAATTGAAAATTGAAGGGGATGTGCCAGAGGCAGCAGAACCTGAAGATGATCTTGATATCATGCTGGGCAATAAAAAGAAGAAAAAGAAGAATGTGAAGTTTCCAGATGAAGATGAGATAATGGAGAAGGAGGAAGGTAGAAGTATAACCTAGCTCAGTGAGATGCTGAAAGGGAAATGTGGTCCATCTTGTAGGTGAATAAGTTCTGTTCAAGTGCCTTTTTTGTTCCAAAAGTCACTTTATTACCTTTACTATTTATCAGAAAAACATCCTGTATGAGTTTCCCATAAGTACTGGTGTCCCTTGTAGACAAACAGAGAAGATTGAGTCCACACCTTAGTGGAATCTTGGTTGATGTCCCTTTTAGAAATGCTGTAAGCACGAAGTTAAACAGTGTTTCTTTTTTTTTTATAATGAATCCCCAAAACCTTTCTTCGCAGCATTTGAGGATGAAGACAGCAAAAAAGACGATGGAATTTCTTTTAGCCTTCAGTCAGGACCTGCGTGGGCAGGCTCAGAAAGGGACTACACATATGATGAGGTAACATTCCAAAGGCTGTTTGTAACCTAAAGGACTTGTACTCAGGGGGTCAGGAACACAAAAACAACAAAGCACCTGTTCTGTCACAGTTAATTACCATCTGGGGCGATACTGGGGATAGTGTTGACACCTGTGCAGATGGGCTGAGGCTGCTGATAGTTGTGAAGCAAACCCTGGGGGGGACACTGTTGAGGTTTTGCATTTATCAGGACACTTGAAGTGTGTTCCAGAGCACGTGATGGGCAGAGACAGTGAGATACTCACTGGGAATGCTGTTCCAGGGGGTTTTGGGAGCGAGGTGCTGCTTCACTTGAGAAATTCAGGCTGCTCATGGCTGTGAATCCCTTCTCTTGCAGCTGCTCAATAGAGTTTTTAACATCATGCGGGAAAAAAACCCGGACATGGTGGCTGGAGAAAAACGGAAATTTGTCATGAAGCCCCCCCAGGTTGTGAGAGTAGGGACCAAGAAAACATCTTTTGTCAACTTTACAGATATCTGCAAATTGTAAGTGTGCTCTTTGGGTTTCCCAGGAATAGCAGATGGATTCTGTGCTCGTGGCTGGGGTGTTGAAGGGATGTTTTCTGGCAAATCAGAAGTGAAGCTGTTTTAGTCGTTACCTCTGCATTCCTCTGGGAGAAGATATTTATGAAAATGATTCACAGAGATAATTTCTTATTTTATACTTAAATTAGGAAAGTGGCAGGGCTGCTACATGAAACTTTGGGAGTTCATTGGCCTTTATCAAGTCTGGTCACCAGTGATACTTATTTGCAAGTGTTGAGCAGGAGGGTGGGGAAAGTTCTTTCTAATTTGAGCTGACTACAAATACTGTTCTCTTGGTAAATGGTGTGGAGTCCAGTAATGTTTTCCCACTGTTTTCTGCGGTGCTTTCTATGTCTTAATTATGTCTTGTGAAGGCAGTTGTGTTCTTTGTGAGCACTTCTGGGAATGCAGCTCTGATTGGTTTCATGTGTGTGCCAGAAAACAGTCCTGCTGAAATCCCCCTGTGGATCTGGGCAGTGGACTAAAGGGGATTTTTAGTGCTAGCTACTAGCACTTTTTTTCAGGGGATGGGAGGGTAAGAATGGAAGATCTCAAACAGAAAACTTATTTTCAGTAGTTGCTGTAATTGTGAGTTTGGTGTGGGGGGGGAACGGTGGAGGGTTTTTTGTGTGGACTGGCCGGGTTTCTTGTGTCCTTGGTCACTGCCTTTGGTGCAGACCCTCTGGCACTGCCCCCTTTTAGACTTGATAATTTTCCCCTGCCATTCCTTTGTAAATACCAGATTCCTGTGAAGGGGGAAGGTTAAACCTACTCTTCCTTTATTTTCAGATTACATCGTCAGCCCAAACATCTCCTGGCATTTTTGTTGGCAGAATTGGGTACAAGGTAAGGCTGCTGGGCTGTGTTTTATAATGATATATAACAAATGTCCATTTGATTGGGCTTTGGAGTCTCTTCTGCTCCAGATGACTTAAAAAATTAGAAACCAGAATGTGAAAAAACATTCCACTTACTCCATTAGAATGTTTAGAAGGTGATCTTACTACTCATAGTACACCTTACTAGAGAGCTGTGTTAATTCTCAGCTCAAAGTTCTTCTGATTAGGAAGCTTAGCTGTGCTGGGGTTTGCTTTTGCTTGGGGAAAACTTCCTGCAGGACTTTAAATGCCTTCACAATTGTGCATTTTCTTCCCCCAAAGTAATTCAGTCTCACTCTTCCCTTGAAGAACAAACACACAGTTATCTGGCTGGGTGTTTGTGACTTGTTTTGACACTTCACATCTTCTGCCAAACAACTGATTAATTTATTGTTTTTTTCTTTTAAATTAGTGGCTCAATAGATGGTAACAACCAACTTGTAATCAAAGGAAGATTCCAGCAAAAACAGATAGAAAATGTCTTGAGAAGATATATCAGTAAGTAGAATTCCCTTTTCCACTGCAGATTTCTCTCAGGCCCACGTGGGTGGGCACAGTGGACATTCCGGGCTGGGAAGCCACAACTTGGCTTTATGCAATATGGAATTATTTATGGAATAATTCAAATGCTGGTGGCTCTACCAGGGTTACAGTAACCACATGTGTCATACCCTGTCCTGCATTAAAACATGCCAAGGAAAACAGAGCGTTGCTTGTTTTCATTTCTTGGCTGGGATGAGGACTATGGCAAACACCAGGGATTGTTAATTTGCAAGTCTGCTGCGCACATTAATTAGCAGATGCAGACTGTGTGTTGCTGCTGGGCAGAGGACTCATGTCCAGATTACATGTTAAAAAATATTTAGTGCTGTGTCTGCCCCAGAGTTGCTGACTCCTGGGAATGCTGCTCCAGCAGAGGAACTGAGGGAACAACAGTTTTAACAGCTTTAACTGGTTATTATTTTGAAAATGCCAGTGTGAGTGTGATGCCTTAGAACACGTACAGAACTTTCAGCTACCTGCCCTTTGTACCAGATTTTTGAAATACTGTTTAATGTTTCCTGTCAAGGATTTCAGTAGAGATTTTCAGCAGGGCAGGGAACATCTTGTTTGTAGAGAATGTACCTAGAAAGGACACATTGCTGGATATAACCCAGTCAAAACTACTCAGAGAGGACCCAGAGGCCTTGAATAAGCAGCTGCTGTTCTAAAATTGTAAGGCCTGTGCTGTGTGGGGGGCAATGTGTGCGTGTTGTGCCCTTAAAGAACTGCTCTTTGCCTTTCTATATTTAAAATTGTCCAGAGAATGTTTTCTTCACTTTAGGTAACAAGTGCATAATGTACCATATGAAACCTCATCTTTCTTAACCTGGCAACTGGGGGGGGGGCAACTTTTAGGTTTTCATAGCAAGCCCTTCTGAGTTAGCAGATGCATTTGAAGGGTTTCAAGACAACTCCTGAAAGGCTGAAGAAGTGGTGACTTGTCTGCATTATCTTTTAATTGCTCTTTGCCTTTTTATACTCAAAATTGCTTTAATTGGAGAACTGCTCTTTACCTTTCCATACTCAAAACTGTCCAGAGAACTTTTTCGTAGATTTTAGGTAACAATTGCATCCCATGCCATATGGAAACCTCATCTCTATTAACCTGGCAACTGGGGGGGGCAACTTTTAGGTTTCCATAGCGAGCCCTTCTGAGTTAGTAGATAGATTTGAACAGTGTTTAAAGACTGAAGGCTGAAGAAGTGGTGACTTGTCTGCATTAACTCTTCACTGTACTTTACCTGTCTCTACTCAAAATTGTGCAGAGAGAATTTTCTTTTTTCCTTAGATTTTAGGTGACAGTGAAACCTCATCTTAATTAATTTGGGAGCCGGGGCAGAGGGCAAGTTTTAGGCTTTCCCTTCTGAGTCAGCAGATGTGTTTGAACGGGGGCTTCAGGACTAAAGGCTCAGCAGGTGTGCAGGTTGTTTTAACCGCCCCTCTGTCCCTCCCCTGCAGAGGAGTACGTCACCTGCCACACGTGCCGCTCCCCAGACACCATCCTGCAGAAGGACACCAGGTTATACTTCCTGCAGTGCGAGACCTGCCACTCCCGCTGCTCCGTCGCCAGCATCAAAACAGGCTTCCAGGCTGTCACAGGCAAGAGAGCCCAGCTCCGTGCCAAAGCTAATTAGTCTGCTAATCACCACTGGATTGTGCACAGCGTTCTGGGGAGGTGGCAGCTGGACAGGTTTCCAGGAGCGGATTGAGCGTTTGTGTTAAAAAACGAGATTGTAAAAACGGCGAGAAATTGGGCTTTTGGTTGGCTGGGCTGTGAAACCCTTGCAAGATGCAGATCCTCAAGCTGTTCACATACATTTGCTCATTGAATATATTTTACCAACTGTAAGGAACGTGATGGGGAAAGGAGGTGCTTTTTAATCCGTTCAGACTTCTGTAAAACACGAGATAAATTAAAGATACTATAACAGTGAGTGTCTTGGATTTGGATTTTTCCTTCAGTTTCCTCTCTAAACACTGGTGGGAATGGTTGGTGTGTTGTTGTTCTGCAAGATCATGTCACTGAACTATGTCCAAAACCCAGAATGAAGATTAAGGTAGAGGTTATTTTGCTTTTCCCTAACCAGCTGATTTTTAGTTAGGCTGTCATTAAACAGAGAAACCGGTCCCAGAGTCCCAGGGCTGTGCCAGCACGAGACCTGCTCGTGCTTTTACACCCATGGGTGCACAGACAGGAACAGCAGGACATGGTTCTGCTTCCTTAGGCAAAAAGTAGCTCTGGGAGGATTCAGACACCAGGTCGATGCTGAATCTTAACACAGAATCAGTAAACTGTACAATAAATTTTCATAGTGTCATAGTACTAAAGTTTGCAATTTCTAATAGAGAAATGTTTATATTTCTGAAGTCCTGCACTCTTCATCACTTTAAAATGAATCTAAATGCAGCAAAATACATAAAATGTAGGTCTAAATGTCATTGTGTGGTGGCTGCAACCCAGTCTTCTGTAAATCTTGGATTTACAGAAGATGCTGCCAAGTAGTTTTGAGTTCCAAATTAGCACATTTTGGGTCATCCTGAGCACTTCCCTCTGCTCACAGTCTGTCAGGAATCTCGAGGGGACACACTCAGTGCTGTCCCTGCTGGTCTTCCCAGTGCTGTAGAAGTTTTGTCACAGCTGTCAAGTTCAAAGATGCACGTGGGGAGTGAAGTCCCTGCTGGGGACCTTAAGGGGGGGTCAGTTGTCACTTGATTGCCAAAATGCCACAGGGTGAGGGAAGGGTGTCACAGCTCAGGGCCCCGGGCAGGTGAGCACAGCAGCCTCCTCCCCAGGGAAAATGCTCATTCTGGATGCAATTCCTCCAAAATCAGGAACTTGAAGGGTTTGTACTAAGTTATAACCTTTGTTAATACAGAGCACAGCCTTGCTGGGAAGTCACTCACTTGCTATTTGAAAACTTGACAGCGCTGTAAGGCAAAAATCAAGGTTTTATGGTTGGTTTCTTTAAAAGCATTTTGAATTTCAAGTGAGCTATAACAATGTTGGATGTATCTTAAAGTGAATAAAGCCAGGATCAGTGCCTCTTGTAACATTATTGTTGTATTCTTGTTTCTTCCTCCTGTTTCCACTCCTCCTGTTGGGAGTAATGCTTTTTGGAGAAGTGCTAGTTGCCTCTTTGTCTTGGTGACTTGCTGTTGGGACACACTGAAATAACTGAAGGAAAACGGTACTTTCTGTTTCTAATAACTTGCTTTTTCCTGGGTCAAATACATTTAACACACTTAAAAGCAGGCATAGTGTGGCTGCTGGATTTTAGTGCACTAAATACAAAGTTTGACTTCAGTGTAATTGGCTCAAAAAATCCAAGTTAACAAAGGAATAAATACTTGTTCAAACCTCTTACTTTTGAGCTCTGGCTTGCAAGGAGAGCTTTATAGGTGTATTTTAAGGATGGACTTTGAGTCTGCATGAAATCCTGATTGGATTGCACCTTGGAGTGCAACACATTGAGTGTAGACTCTGGAATAACCTCACTGATGCAGGAAAAGTCATTTCTAGGAGCAGATACCAGCTGGGGTTTATTTTTTATTAGAAAAACCTCCTTCCAGTGTCCATTCCAAAAGTGGTGTGTGAACACAGATGCCTCTTGCTGCCTGGAAGGCTGATGTGAGCTTGAAGGGTGGAGGCAAAAAAAGGAGTTTCTGCTTGGGCCAGCTCAGAGAAAGCAGCTCAGGGATGGAGTTCTAAGGAGGGGGTGGCTGTGTTTGCCCCGGCTCTGCCTGCAGGCATCTTTTGGGAGGCACACCGAGCTGTGTTCCTCCACTGTTTTTTTTTTTTTTCCTCTGAGCTGGGAATTGGCTGTGAGGAGGTGTGGGAGGCACATTTTTAGGTACTGGGGAGCAGGATGTGTGAACGGGGCGGGGGGGGGCTGACAAAGGGCTGGGCTGCTTCTCTCCGTGGCTTCTGCCACGCCCAGCTATCCTGCACCTTACTCAGTGTCTGAGCTCTGTAGGTCTGTTCCAGCAGTAAAAATGAAACACATCTTCCAGTCCAGGACAGAGAAATGTGAGTCTCGTCGCTGGATTTCCCGGGAGAACTTTACAAAAAAAGTTGTGTTGTGGTCATTCAGCCTCGATACCTGATACCCTTGTAAGAATAATCTCTTTACGCCCCCCCTTCTGCCAGGTAAATGCTTTTGTCTGCCGTGGAGTCGGAGCGTTGTGACTCAGGGTTGGGGGGCCTTGCTCAGGTCACTGAAATAAGGGGTGAATGAAAACATCTGGCCTGGTTCAGCACAAACAGTGGGATCAGCTGCCCCCTGGCCCTCTGTCCCGCTGAAATAACTGCTGGGTAGCACCGAAATAAGGGAGAACGAGTTTTTGCTGGAAGCTTCTGGCCTCAGAGCAAGGATTTAATCAACTTCTAGAACCAGAAACGGTGTAAAGGAGGAGCATTTTCCAAAATGTTTCCATTGAGGGCGGGGCATTTCTGGTCGTTCCCAGGCATTGTGTGCCGTGTCCTGCAGGCAGGGGCACCACACCCCGACATCCCTGGCTTGTGTCAGCCGCGGGGGCAGCTTGTCAGGGAGGCTTGGGCACCCGGGGATGTGAGCAAGGAGAAGAAAAAGCAGATTTTCCAGGCGGCTGCAAACAGGACGGGGGGTTGTCAGGAATTGCAGGGGGTGTGATGGTGTCTGGTGGTGAGGGGGGTGGGGGGACAGAAACAGAAACAGCAGGAAAGCTCTGAAAGTCTAGAAAATAGGAAGTCGAGTGTGATTCTGACAGCTAAAGATCATCAGAACTTACCTGTTATCCTTTCCCATAACATTTCTCCAGCTCTCTGTTCTGCCCCTCTGCTCAGTTTTTTTTCCTAGAGGTTTATTCCAGATTGCTGGAAGAGCATCCAAGGAAGTGAGAAGGCCGAGCTTTGAGACACAACTAAAAGCAGATGTTGATCAGAAAGCAGCAGCTGCACGAGAACTACCAGTTCAGAGACAGCAAACTGCAAAGCCACATCAGCTTCCAAAAGAATTGTTTTTGCTTTTCTTCCTCCTAAAGAGAAACAACTTCCCCCAAGACAAACAGGTTCAAGGGCTCTTGCTGATCTTTCACATGCACTATTTCATCTGTACAAGCCTTTGGCTTGAAGGGACCTCACCCAGCTCCAGTCTCTGGGCTAAGAAATCTGGTGGGTTTAGCTCTTTAGTTATTTCAGCTGTTTTATTATTCATTATTGTGAATTATTTCAGCTTATTCTTTATTTTAACTATTCCAAAAAGGGGAAGACAGGGAAGTGCCTCCCGAGGCAGTTCAGCCAGCCTTAGTTTTTCTAGAAAGAGCTTGGGGAGACACTGCTTTTGGTGTAGGTGTGTAATCACAGATGAATATAGATAAGCTCTACATCCACATTCACACAGGTGTCATGCACAGATACACTGTCCTTTCTCATCTGCTCTGTGCTGTCAGTGCCTGCCCCAAGCCCAAGGGAGCAGCCACAGTTCTTTATCCAGAAGTAGAAATTCCAGCTGGCCCTGGAAACAGGTTGCTGCCTGATAAACTGATGATAAAAATTGGCTTTTCCTGGCAGGAGGAGAAATACTTCCTCCTTTCCCTTCTGCTTGTGTCTCTGAGACCAGGCCCACTCCTTAATGCTCGTCATTTCTGCACACTGAAAACAAGGGCATGATTCTGAAATTATCAGTCATTGCTTTCCATCTGGGATCTGGGTTAGGAGGCATTTTTCAATGGAATACCCAGCAGAAATGTGTGGAACCTCCCTCTCTCTTCAGCCTGGTGCATGGGCTCTCTGGGCTCACAGGGGTTTTGGGCTTTGTGGCAGAGGCAGCTTCTTTAGTTCTCCATTCTGCAGTAAAGCAAATTAGTTTGAAACCCTCTGTTTCTTCCCCCAGCCCTGCTTTGGGTAATTATCCCATTGTTTTCATGTATTTCTCTCTCCCATGTGGAAGCATTTCACTGGGGGGGGAGCAGGTCCTTGTGATTGTCACCAGTGTCAGGTGACATGGCTGGATCACAGAATCCCAAAATGGTTTGGGTTGCAAGGGACCTTAAAGACCATCCAGTCCCACAGCAGGGACACCTTCCACCAGCCCAGGTTGCTCCAACCTGGCCTTGGACACTCCCAGGGATCCAGGGGCAGCCACAGCTTCTCTGGGCAACCTGTGCCAGGGCCTGCCCACCCTCCCAGGGAAGGATTCCTTCCCAATATCCCATCTAACCCTGCCCTCTGGCAGTGGGAAGCCATTCCCCCATGTCTTGTCACTCCAGGCCATGTCAAAGGTCCCTCTCCAGTTTTCTTGCAGGATCTTGGTGCTTCCAACACGGCTTTACAGTCCTCTGCTGAAAATATGAATTTTTATTTAGAAAGGAAAAGGGAGATTTCTTGCCTTCGTTACAGAGAGAGCAGTCAGATGTGAATAATTTTGAGAATTAGGCACAAAGGGCAAGTAAAGAATTTCCTGTTAGTTTTTGTCTCGTGAACTGCAGTGTCTCTGTCCTGCTCTCTGCCCTCAGAGCCAGTTCCAGGCCCTGTTCTGTGTTTTTGTTTGGCACTAAAATAACCTCTTTTTTTTTTTTTTTCACCACACACGTGAAAAAATTAAAATGGAGCTTAAAACATTTTTCTTTGCTGCCTTGTCCCCACACTTCCCAACACCCTCAGAGAGCAGAGGGAGGAGGAATTGCTTTCTCTGCTCTTCTGAAGGAGCTTTGCAGACACCCCTGGGTGTCCTTCAGAGCACCTTCAGAGGTGCTGATTTAGGCTTTGGGATGTGGATGCTGTTGAGGTTTCCCTGTTGCTGAGGGGCTGTTTGGGGCTGGCTGAAGGGGGGGGATCTCCAATATGTTCTGTCCATGACTGTTTAGAATTCCAGGCCTTCTCCACTGTCCCAAATCCATCTGAGCTGTGGCCACAGAGCTGCCTCCTGAGCTGACCAAAATCAAGGCCTTTTGGGATGAAGTGGATCTTCTGAGCAGTGGGCAGGGGCCAAGCTGGAGCACAGGGGGAAGATCAGGAGGGGATGTCCCAGCTGAGCTGCCAGGCCTGTCCTCCTGACCCTGAGTGGCTCGGGATCATCCAGCAGGAGGGAGCTCCCAGCACACACAGCGTGGCTCTGCCCCCCATCCTGCCTGGGCTGCCCCCCCTGCACCCTGAGCCTGGCACAGAAAATGATCCACCTGAAATGTCCCCCGTGAGAAGGTGCTGAACTGGAGTGTTATAAAGTGTTTTCCTGCTGAACTGGGGCAGCACATCCATGGACTCCTGGCTGAGTCCTCTCAGCATCACTGGCCCTGTCCTGGGTGTGTTTTCCTGGCAGAGGATGGATGGACTCCACCAGGAGCCCTTGGGGTTCTCGACCACATCACTGAACGTTTCTCAGACTTTCTTGAGAAGAGGGAAAAGATGGAATTAAATGTCCTGCAGATAACAGAAGGACAATGCAGGAGGGATATAACCACTGTCCCAGAGACAGCAACTGGCTCTTACAAATTCCCCAAGGAATGGTCCTGTTTCAGCTGCAGTAACTGAAGTGTTTCCAAAGCACTTATGGACTGGAACTGCGATGCTCATTGAAGCCAATGGAAGTTATTAAATCAGTGGAAGCTTTTGTTACATCTCCCGACTCAGACTGAATGATTACAGGCGTTCTGGCCCCACAGAGTGTCTTTGCATGTCCAGAAGCACATGAAAGGAGGATCTGGGGATGGAGTAACCCTGCTCTGTTGCTCTGAGAGCCCAGAGCAGCGTGTGAAAAGCAGAGCACCAAAGCTCCCTGCACATCTGCTCATCCCATCCAGAGCAGCACATCCAAGCCCAAAGTGTGCTGGCCAGCCCAGACACTCCACATTTCCTTTGCTGAGGTGCAGGAATTCCAGTGGGGTTGGAGACTTTGTTTCCAACCAAGCCCACGCTGCTCCTGCCACCCAACATCGGTGGGATGGCAACAAGCAGAGCAGCAAATACTGGATTCAGGAGAGGTCCAGGACATTTGGTAAGGGGATCTTCCCTCTGTGGAGTGCTGGGGAAAGCCTTTAACAAAGGCTGCTTTTTTTTCCCCCAGCTCACCCCGTGGAAATGTGTGTATGTTCAGCTCTGCCGCTCCGTTCCTGTGGCTCGATTTAATTCAGAATATGAGTGCTGCCTGGGGGGATGTTCCAGGGAGAATGGACTGGCCCAACCCTTCTCTTCCCACACCCCAACAAGGCAGGGAGGATTACAGGGAGTGACTCTGTGGGGACACTGGCCCGTGGAAAAGGAGGTTGGATGCAGATGGGGCGGGACCCCTTTACATGCATTGAAGAGCTAATGGGATCTGACACATCCCTTTGTGCCATGGATATTTAAAGGCCTTGGGGAGGACCACACATCTTTCTGTGGGCCAGGGCAATCCTAAAGGCTCAGGAGCTGCCTGTCCCTATGTGCTAAAAGATGAGATGACGGGAAAGAAAACAGGCCTGGCTGAACATTTGGCTGGAACTGAGTTAAAAAAGGAGAGTTTTTGACCCTTGGAAGAAGGGCCAGGCAGCCCAGGAGGGCTACAAGGGTGTCTGGAGTTATGCAGGGACAAAATTAGAAGGGTCAACTAGAGCTTAATCTGGTTACTGCCATAAAAGAACAAAAAATCCTGCTGTAAATACATCAGCAACAAAAAGAGGGCTGAGAATCTCCATCCTTTATGGGGTGCAGGTGGGGGTTGGTCTCTTTTCCCAGATAACAAGAAAGAAAGAAAGAAAAAGAAAGAAAGAGAGGGAAGGAAGGAAGGAAGGAAGGAACGAAGGAAGCTGATTCATGGCCTGAAGGGCTGAAGGGTGTGTGTGTGTGTCCCCTTTCCCACCCACTGCTGCACCCTCACATTCCATGTGGATCCCTCTGGATGGTACAGAGTCCATGAGCACCAAAACCCCAGAACTCATTTCACTGAGGCCCCACCTACAGCCAAGTTAATGACCATGGGGGGCTGTCTAGGAGCTTCCAAAGTCCCTTGTTCTCCCCCCTAAATAATTAACAACATCAATCCAGTTGTTCACTGGGAGACCTTTTGGCTCTAATGGCCTGAAGCTGGAGTGACCCAGCCCCAGCCTCCAGGCACAACCACCCTGAACTGGGGACCTGGCTCTTCAGAGCTAAGGTAGGGCTGATTTTCATCTTCTTTACAGCCATTTGGGCTTTTGTTTGTTTGTTTGTTTGTTTGTTTTTTCCTCCCTCCCCCCTTTCCTCCTTCCCCATTGCAAGGGCGTTCAACTGTTCATTGCTGCTGCTGCTGCTGCTTTCCTGTTCTTGAAGTGATCTGGTGACTGAGGGCAGGATGGATGGAAGGGTGGGTGGATGGATGGAGGGATGGATGGATGGATGGATGGATGGATGGATGGATGGATGGATGGGTGGATGGATGTTCAAACATCCTCAGACTCACCAGGATCTCCACCAGCTGCAATAGGCAGCTCTGCCCTCCAGTGCTGGGTGACAGCTCAGACCGGGCTCAGCAGAAAACCTTTCAGGACTCAAAATTAACTTTCCCAAGGCACTGAAAGCCTGGCAGCATCTGGATTCCACCTGGGCTGGTGGAGGTGTCCCTGCCCATGGCAGGAGGTTGGAATAAGATGAGTTTTCAGATCCCTTCCAACCCCAACCATTCTGGGATTCTGGAATTCTCCCCATGGTGGTCACTGGTCCCTCCTGACACTGCTCTGGTGCCAACCTGAGGATCAGTTGTGCTGTTGCCTTGTGTAGGCTGGAACAGCAGCCAAATTTTTCCAGTCTGTTATGAGCTGGAACAGTGCAAAGTCCAGAGATTACAGGCCTGGATTTGTCCCCTGCTCTGCTGCATCCAAGGAGTTCCCCAGCCTCCAGGGGGAAAGTCCCAGAGCCCTTGTGGACCCAGATGTTTTGCTCAGCCCAGTGGGATATACCTTGTGTAAGGGAAAGCAAATCCTGTAGGCAGAGCTGAGGCTTAGAAAGGGAAAGACCTGTCTGAAGTAGAAGAAAAAAAAAGAGTGTGTGTGTGTGAGACAGAGAGAGAAGAGAGGGGAAGCAAATTAGATTTCTTTCTTTTATTATACAGGGTCGTATGTACAAGGTCACCTTTCTCCCAAACATCAGCATCACAGTCAGTTCATAGCAAAAACTGCAGCTCATCTCGCCAGGCCTAGAAAACAGCTCTACAAGGCTCAGGACAACAGTGGAGACTGGACAGGAACCGGCACAGGGAGGGGACAGCTCTGTTATCCCTCTGATCCCTCACCAAACATTCTGAACTCAGTAACGCAACTCAAACCTTGTGCTTCGCTCCAGGGTGGCCCTGGGGGGGGAAGGGGGGTGTTGGTGTGTTGCCCCCAGGCCTGTTTTCTTCCCCTTCACCCTTCAGAGATGCCGTGGATGAGGTTGGAGCACTCGGAAGGACCTGGGGCCATGCGTGGTGTGGGAGGGTCTGACCGAGGAGAAGGGGTGGACACCGGGCTGGAGTCAAAGCACTGGGTGGTGGGGGTGGGCTGGCTGTGTTTTGGAGGGCGAGGAGGTGGGCAGGACACATCAGATCTGAATAAAGTGCTGCAGTGAGTTTCAGCCCCATCTACCCCAGGAAAAGCGGGTGAGCCCAAGAAGGAGGAGGAGAAAGGCTGAGAGCTCTTGGGTGCTGCGGCACGAGGGGTTCCCCCCACGAGGAGCCACACGAGGGCTGTGCAGCCCCTGCTCACGGCCAGGGCACGGCTGGGGAGCAGCTGGATGGAATCTGGGGAGCAGGGGAGGTGCTTGAACACACCCACGTGCACTGCGCTGTCCCCAGGGGCTGTCACACCGCACGGACCCCTCGGGCTGGGACGGAACAGGAGCTATTGGAGCTCTCGCGATGTGCCAGGTCGGTGTGAGATGGGGCAGGAGGAGCTGGGGGCTCCCCAGGGGAAGGGCTGATGTCTCTGGCACCGGGCTGCAGGAGTGGGTGCTCTCCATCCCTCCCAGGGAGCAGCTGGTCCAAGCAAAGGGTCTCACCCACACCCCCCCCTCCCCTCACTCTGCAGAGACTCGCTCGGCCTTCACATGGCACATGAGGACACCAAACCACTGAAGGTGACGTTTGCTTTGTTCCTCCTGCTGGAGATCACCTGCTTTCCTGCAGCTTCTTCTCCCCTTCCCTCTTCAAGCAGCTTCCAGAGCACAGCACGAGCTCCAGCTCCAACTCCTTCCCGCCTGGAAGTGCCTGTGGACCCACGGCGGTTCACGGGGCAAGAGAGCCGTGACAGGAGGGGACTGTTCTGGAGGACAGCTCACCCCACACCCTCCTCCTCACCAGGATCCCCAGTGCAAGAACACAAACCATCCACACTGAGACAGTACTTCTCCCTCAGTCAGGAAATGCTCTGGCTCTCACCTCACACGGGGAAAAACGTCTGCATTGGGCTGGGCTGAGCCTTCCCTGCTCTCCTGCAAAACCCCTCGGACTCCCTGGGGACACAACTCTCCTGTTCTCCAGTCTGGGGTGGCTCTGGGCTGTGCAGGTTTGGCTCCTGCCTCCTCTGGCTGCAGAGCTCCCAATCCATTGCAGGGGGAGTGGGGATTCGCTGGGATGATGAGTTTTCCTTGTCTTTGCTTTACAGATGGATGGAAGATGTCGGGCCATGTTTCTCCTTTTGGATGCCAGGTAGAGATGACAGCAGCACTCCCATTCAGCTTGCCTTGCTCAACGTGCCAGGACAGGGTTTAGCCTCGTGCTTTCCTCACACAGTTGCTCACTGCTGTTCTGAGAGGGCTGCGAGGGGAGAAGGGGGAAGGGACATCACTGTCCTTGAACCCCAAAGATTTGGCATTTAGGACAGGGAGTGAGGGGCTGGCCGGTGCCCCAGCTGAGCAGCCAAGCTCCCTGCTCGAAAAACACAGAGGATCAGCGGGAAAGAGCATCTTCTGAAGCAGCAGCCCCCACCCCAACACGCACAGAACGAGAGCTCTTGCTCAGAATGAGCCTCCAAACAGCGGTATGGGAGCTGTACCTGGTTACTGTAGTCTGGCATCCTCCACATCTGTGTAATGGCTGTTCTCCTGCAGGGAAAAGGGAACCAGAAACAGGCAGTCACCACGTGGGTGTGTTTTGGAGGGGAAGGAGGTGGGCAGGACACGTGAGATCTGAATAAAGCACTGCCTGAGTTTCAGTCTCATCTATCCCAGGAAAACGGGATAAACCCAGGAAGGAGGAACACTCTAAAGTGCTCCAATGCCTGACCACCCTTTCAAGGAAGAAATTTTCCCTAATATCCCATCTAACCCCCCTCCCTCCCCGGCGCAACCTGAGGCTGTTTCCTCTTGTCCTGTCCCTGTTCCCTGGGAGCAGAGCCTGAGCCCCCCCAGCTCCCCCCTCCTGTCAGGGAGTTGCAGAGCCAGAAGGTCCCCCCTGAGCCTCCTTTTCTCCAGGCTGAGCCCCTCCAGCTCCCTCAACCCCTCAGACTTGTGCTGCTAAACCAAAACTGCATTAGCACAGCAGAAAATCTATGCATCAACCACTTTATGCTGCACTTAACAAGTATTTTCCACACCTAAATTCACTGCTGAGAGCTCAATATTTAACAAGTGCATTTGGATTGGTGGTCCAAAAAGACCCCTTTGGCTCTGAGGGGCAGGGGTGCTACAGGAGAGGAGTCAGAGGTCCCCCATACAGAGCTGATGGAGCAGAGCCAGAGGGATTTTAGGCACCCATGTGGGCACCATGGCCATGGACAGCAGGTGGTGACGGCCACAGGGATGTGTGTGAGCCAAAGAGGTGTGGGATAAAGGAGTCACTCCCCAGGAACTGGGAAGACTCCAGAGCTGTTCAGCGTTGTAAGGTCAGGAGCACACTCTAAAGGCTGGCTCTGGTGAGCTGCCTCTCTGTGTCTGAGACCCTCACACGACCTGCATGCACTGACCTGCCCCAGGAGAGCACCTGGGAGCCTGTCTGATGTTGGCAGGGAAATATTTCTGGTCTCAAAGCCACTTCAGGACCAGGGAGTTACAGAAAACAGAGATGGAAGGGAGCTGAAACAGTCATCCTGTTCATCTCTTAATGAAGACCAGCTCTTCCCAAACCATTGCCAGCAGATGTCTGTCCACTGTTTTCTTATCCCAACAATGGCAGAGAAGTCCACATTTTTTGTTGACAGGCTGTGTGCTGCTTTATCATCATTAACATCAGCAAGTTACTCCTTAATTTCTCCCATCTGTTTCCCTTGATGTAATTCAAACCTGGCCTTCCTTATCCAACTGGCACAGAGCTTGTGCCTTTCTTCTTCCAGTGCCTGTCCTGATGTCTCCCTGTATGGCCCTGCCATACCCAAGCATGGAATGACAGGACAAGGGGGAATGGCTTCCCACTGCCAGAGGGCAGGGATAGATGGGATATTGGGAAGAAATTCTTCCCTGGGAGGGTGGGGAGACCCTGGCACAGGTTGCCCAGAGAAGCTGTGGCTGCCCCTGGATCCCTGGCAGTGTCCAAGGCCAGGTTGGATGGGGCTTGGAGCGACCTGGGCTGGTGGAAAGTGTCCCTGCCCATGGCAGGGGGGTGGAACTGGATGGTCTTTCAGATCCCTTCCAACTCCTGTGATTCCATGGCTGTCTGGTCAGATGGAAGGGCACTGCAAATGCACACAGTCAGGAGAGTGCAGTTAATTTACCACGGTCTGTCTTTGCCACGTGTTTAAATCCATCCAAGAATTACTTGGGAGCAGAGCAATTTGGTTTAAACAATCGCTACTTGTGAAATCAAGGATAAATGTGGTTTGAATCTCAAGAGCCAATGTTTCTCCAGCATCTCCACACACATTTGCCAGGGCAGCAGAACAGTTTGGAGGAACGAGCTGAGAACAATCATGGGATTTAAAGACACCGATTTCTTTTGAGGAAGGGAAAACTATTTTTCCTGGGGATTTAGCAAGTTCCAGTAAAACTGTGGTCCACTACGAACTCCTCTGGCTGGGAGGAGGCATCATCCAAGCCCTCTTACCAGTTCATCTTCACACTCATCCCGTGCAAGACCCTCCTCCTCCCCCTCGTCCCCGTTGAGCGGCTCCTCCGTGTTGGCCTCGGCCTCCGACGCCGTGTCCTCCTGGGACACTTCACTTTTGCTGCTCTCAGCCTTCTTCCGAACCTCTGAGGGGAAAAAAGCACTGGGATCAGGGGCTGGGGGCACTGCCAGAGCCTGGGCACACCAGTGCAGAGGGCTCCCAAATTCCCTTGGTGGGGGGTAAATAACAATCTCGGGGGTTTTCTGCAAAGGGAAGTTTTGCTGATTTTGAGGAAACTGCCCCAGAGACCTTGGAAAGAACAGAGCAGGTTCTACATCCCTCCAGGGAGTGTGGGAGCCAGATGGGATGGGATAGGCTAGGCTAGGATAAGACAGAGTACAGTAGAACAGAATAATAATAATAAAAAAAAAGCAAACTAAGCAAATACAAACCATATGACTAAAGAACAAAAAAACCTCTTAATTTTCAACCCCAAGTCCATAACTTGGGGAATTTTGGTATGTAATTATGGCTTGTGCTTCTAGCCTGGATTCTTGGGGCTGCCCCTTCACTGTGAAGAGCCCAGAGGATGCTCTGAGCTGTGCTGGCCCCACAGACACCCCCACACCCCACTGACCTGCAGACAGCTTCTGTTCCTCTGCAATCTGCTCCAGCCGGCCCAGCAGAGCATCAATGTTGGACTTGATCTGCGTCAGCTCAGTTTTGATTGTTTGCAGCTCGCTGCTCTTCACTTGGAGGGAGGAAGGGAGGAAAAAATAAAGGCCTTCAGTGCCCTGCAGATCACCCGCAGAGCCCACCCTCACCCCCGGCCCAGGGTTACAAACATGGAGAGACCGCAACTGCTGAGCAGGGCAAAAACACGGGGGGGAACCCCACGCTGGAGACATGCTCCTCAGTCCCTGCTGCCTGCTGGGGGTGCAGGGGGCTGTAGGCACCAAAAAAAATCCTGTGAGTCTGCTGCCCAGGCAGCTTGTGGAGACTGACACCAGGCTGTGGCCTAACCCTTCCCCAGCTGCTCGGGCTGTTGTTTCCAGATTCTTTGGGGTGAAGGCTTTCCCTGGGAGCACCCTGCCTGTGGGTGGGTGCCTGGGGCCAGGGGGTCCATGTGCACACCCACAGAATCTCAGAATCACACAATCAACCAGGTTGGAAAAGACCTCTGAGATCATCGAGTCCAACCCCAGCACCACTTTGACAACCAGCCCATGGCACTGATGCCACATCCAGTCTCTTCTTAAAAACTCCAGGGATGGTGAATCCACCCCCTCCCTGGGCAGCCCATTCCAATGGCTGAGCACTCTCTCTGTAAAGGATTTCTTCCCAATATCCAACCCAAAACTCCCCTGGCACAGCTTAGACCGAGCCCTCTTGTCCTACTGCTGGTTCCTGGGAGAAGAGACCAAACCCCCCCTGCTCCCCCCTCCTGTCAGGGGGTTGCAGAGAGTGCTGAGGTCTCCCCTGAGCCTCCTCCTGTCCAGGCTCAACAACCCCAGCTCCCTCAGCCTCTCCTCACAGCACTTGTGCTCCAGTCCCTTCCCCAGCCTCGTTGCTCTTCTCTGCCCCTGCTCCAGCCCCTCCATGTCCTTCCTGAGCTGAGGGCCCAGAGCTGGACACAGCACTCCAGGGGTGGCCTCCCCAGCGCTGAGTGCAGGGCAGGAATCACCTCCCTGCTCCTGCTGCCACA